GGTGCTTGTCAAACAGCGGCAGTGGTTATCTGGGGGTGGTTGTCATACGGTGGGCATCTGAGGGTATTTATTTTTTTAATTAAAATTTTTGAATTTTCGCGCCATTCGAAACTTAACTTTCTCCACTTTCACTTCCGTTGCGGACAAATCACTGCGAACAGACATTTCCAGCTTATAATATAGATGACCGGACGGAAAAAATTCATTACTACTCGAAATCACAATTGTAACCAAGGCGGTTAAGTCATATATTGACACCGTTTTGTTTTGAGTGTGTATAAATAAATAATTTATTCAATGAATAATTTTTACAAGGCTCATGGCCCATAGAATTACAAGTTAATTCTAAGCATGATTCAACAATATAGTTATATATACTTTTAGGTAATATGTACATAACCTAAATAATATATACATTGGTATACGCACATAAAATATTTATTTTTTCTTACGTTATGTAAGTTTTGGACCACACGACTAAACTAATAACTGATTGATGGAAATTTTCTGTACATATGTATTTACTTAAGATACAAAAATTTAAGGTAGAAATGCAATAGCGGATTTTAAGTAGATCAATACATTGCTCACTTGCTTATCGTAACACTTGATGCTAAATTTGCATTCGATGGAAACCAATAGCGGAACTATAGATTCGGGGCCGGTATGTGAGCTAGACATGGGGGCCTAAATCTAAATGAACTGTTACAAGTGGGAGCCAGTTTTTTTTGCTAATTCTAGCTACGAAGTTTAATGCTACACTGTAATTCTTCTATTTAATATTCATACTCGGACCATAGGTTCTCACAAATGCGTTTCTGATGATAATTCACAAAGCATTACAGAGTCACAGATCCTATTTGCACAGTTAGAAAAACTGACCAAACTCATGGAGGGATAAGGTTTTTTGTACTTGCGCAATTTTGCGCTCAAAACGTATTTAGTGATTTGAGGTGAATAAGACGTTTGGTTAACAAAAATCGGTCAACGAATGCCAAAGAAATCGACATCCAAAGTCGACCATCTCCTTACGCATTTTTCTGAAAGAAAATTGTCACGAAGGAAAATTTTCGAAAAGTTGAAATTATCCAGATGCAGTGTTGCTCGTTCTCCAAGAAATCTTGAACTTAATTCCGCTTTAATTAGATCAATATCTAAATTAGCGGGACTGGCATCCCCAATAAACTTCCAGCCCCAAACAAGTTTTCGCGTACCGTTTTTCGAAAAATCCACTCCCTTTCAAGGCGAAAAAATCTTCTGACCCAAAACCAAATAGGAAAAGTTGTTAAAATATGTCAGCTGCATGTTAGTTGCTCCAGTGACAACAAACTTCAAAAGGAGGCCAAAAAGGGCAAAAGTTCACACGAAATCAAACTTTCCAATGAAAATCTAACTGAAAACGATGCAGTATGCAGCCGAGTTAAAAGAAATGTCAGGGATTTCAATCATTCCTAATTCGTAGATACCTGTGACAACTCCTGATTAGGGTTGCAACGAGTACTCGTTTAGACTCGGTACTCGGCAAAATTTTGCTGAGCTCGAACTCTGCAGAGTTTTTTCTGCACTCGGCCGAGCTTTTTTACTATTGTTTTACCCCAAAGTAGACTAAGCGGCCTTTTCATTTGTGTATATATATACTCTTACTCTCTTCAGCATGTTTGCTGCACATTATTTCACACTTGATCTAATTTCTCACTTTCATGACTGAATAATTGGAAATTTCACTATCTTTACTTTCACTAACTAATTTGTGTGTATCAACTCAGCAATATATTCTATGTTTAGCAGAATTGTTTGGAGGGTTGATGTGAAGCAAATTTTCATTAATTAAACAATATTCGAATTAATATATTTGAACTGGTTAACCCTAATTTGCTAAAAATTATTAGCCAATTATTGTCTCAAAAATAAAAACTAATAAGCCAGGCCGAGTCGAGTTTTCAATTAATTATTAACATTTAAATACAGCTAATTATTTAATTTCTTTCACTATTTCTGATTTGTGAAAAATAATTAGCATTCCTGGAATGACGCTGTTCCCGTTTTTGTTCATCCGATCCGAGATCTACAAAAAAATGCTTCCTCTTAGTATTCGTCTGAAAATAAACAAAACAACAAATATACTTTGCACTTATGTACATAGCTGATTCAACCATATGAACAAATAAAGGACGACATTCAGTCTATTAGATACTTTAAAATTTGTTATAAAAAAATGAGAACAAGTTTTAAGATTTTATCGACCTCGAATTTGTGGAGAATTTTAGCAGCTTCGACATCATTTCAGGTTTATGACCGAACAAGCACATGTCGAAGTTTTTTTAAACCAAACCGTCTATGAGGCCAGTGGGTGTGGCACTTAAAAGTCATATGCACATCGTTTTTGAACACTTTATTGATCTGGTTTTTATTTTTTAAACAATAATCCTGGATCAATTTTCCTTGTTTTGTTTAAAAAATGACCTGCGTGAGTTGAATTTTTAGTTTCATGGTGAATTCGTTATTGAATCAGATTTGTTAGAAGTTAAAAAGGTTTTATCCGCTAGCGGCTAATTTCACAAGCTCAAGTTATCAAGGTCCCTAATTTTTATGAATTCGGGTTTCTAGTTGTCCAAAATTTAACACAGCAATAGATAATGTGCTAATAAGGTAACATCATAAAGTAACGCATTTTAATTTTGTAATTTGGCACTAAATTAGAGAAATACAATTTTTATATTTTCAACGTTAATATTTCTAAATTATAGAATTAATTTTCCAAAATTTGAATTTTAGAAATGGATAACTACATCTTTTTTTATATGTCCACATACATATGTAGGTTGAGATTTGTAAATAAGTGAAGAGCGATTGCTGCAGAACTCGAAAAACCGAGTGCACTCGGTTTTTGGAGTGCTCGATTGCAGAGTTGCACCAAGCTTTGCAGAGTACTCGAACTCGGCTCGAACTCGAAATGTAGAACTCGTTGCATCACTACTCCTGATGCCACTCCTTTAGATTTTTAATGGGTGTAGACTACTAAAATAATAGCTTCATTTCAGACGAGCTCTAGTTTTTTTGGTGTTTCGGAAAAATCTTCAGGATGAGTTGGAGATGATTTCAAAACAATATTAGTGCCTCATTCATCCATAAAAATTTCTAACAAACAAATCTAATACTTTGTTAATTATCAGCAAAAATGCATTTGAGGGAACTTAGATATAGCCCAAGTATGTATGATACAGCCAGTATGTAAATGTTCTTTGTATAAACTAAAAACAACTTGTAAAAGTGCAAGAAATGGTAACAGATTTAGGTTTGCCAGTAAATAAATTAACTCAAAATTATTCCTGCTTTTTAAATATTTTATGCGTCAATGAAAAAAATCCAATAATATATACACACAAGCGTCCGACGGCCGGGGGCCGTCTCATCTTGGGGGCCGATATGTGGGACCTCCCCCACCTACCCCTATTTACGCCAGTGGTGGAAACACCGGAATATTAGTAGAACTTTGCAAGTTAAATACATATTACTGGAATTGGTCTTTAGATTTCTTAACCAATTTCCGGACTAAGCAAAATTGCAACAATTAATGAGATATCCCGTTAAAACGTTTTCATGCTAGGAAACTAATGAGCTAAAAAATGCATATCCCAAAGTTAATCCATGTCCTGGCAGGACCAATTACTTATGAAATGCTTAATGCACATATTACCCTTGCCATAAATCGAAAAGGATAATTATCGTGTCGTGTCTTCTAAGGTTCTTCCCGTGTCGTGTTTCAACCTTGAAGTTGACATCGATGCTGGCGACATCAAAGGACTTCCTTAAAAACAGTCCAGGTCGAGGATACACTCTTTGAAATCCGGTATTACAATCAGACGTGTTCAACAAAAAATTATTCACTCAAATATTCATTCATTGTCATGAAGTGCAGGCAACATTCATTCAAATATTCATTCATTAACAATAGGGAATATTCATTCAAATATTCATTCATTGACAATAGGGAATATTCATTCAAATATTCATTCATTCATTAACATATTTATTCATTCACTAAAATATTCACTCATTTATTCAAATATTTATTTATTCATTCAAATATTCATTTATTCATTCAAATATTCGTTCATTTATTAAGTAGCTTCAGCTACTTTATGCGAAGACAGGATAACAAGAGAACGGATCGAGATAATCGACATCGGTTTTCGACATTACGCATAGGACCCGAGGTGGATCCTATCAACTTGTGGGACCAATATGACCACCCCCTTCGGCCAGGGGGTGTGGTCGGGGTAAAATGAGATTTTTTCAGAAATTGAAGCTACGGATGAAATACATTCAAGGTACAAAATGAGCCAAAAGCGCAAGGTCTATTCGCGTCGATTTCACCGAATTTCACATAAAAAATCCTTAATTTATTGTTGGGTAGAAAGATCAATATACTGTAGGTATTTTTGAATTATATGCAACCACCCCCCATTTTAACGGATTTTCGACTGGCAAACACAATATGATATTCATTTTGCCGTATGTATGACACTTATTTCACCCTTTAGCTACATATGTTTGCGACGGTTTAGTCAATTATTTTTGTATTCACAATTTGCGCATGGTAGTCCATCCACAATTTGAGTTCAAATTATTATGTAATATGCATCTGCCGCGCTACGCGGGCGAACTCCAACTTTAAATTTAATATAAATTTCAAGGTAATGATGAAAGCATTTGAGTCAAAACATTTCCAAGATTCTTAGAGGTAGAGGCTTTTTGAAATATTTATGTCTAAAATCGGTAATATCCACTCTAATATTTATTAATTAACATAATTGTCAAATAGAACTTGCACGTAAATTTGTATTACAAATATATACGGTATGTACTTGTTATCTAATTTTTTGAGCGAATTAGTACCATTTTGTTTTATTGTTTAGATGAATTCCTTACTTAGCAATTGACAATTCCTAAAGCCGCAAACCATATTGCTAGCACCATCAGTCACAAGATAACCGATCTGAGTTTAAAAGTATTGCATTATTTATTTATCATTAACAAAATTGAATGTTTATTCTTACTATTCACCTTGGTCGTGCTAATTCCTAATGAATCCATAGATTGCTGGAATTTTTGCTTTATATTTTCTCCGGTGTGGCGATCATTAAATTGCACGGCTGAGAGGACGTTTGACACCAATTTCCATGTTCGGTTCTGCGTATCTTTTTTACTATAATGGTATTTAAGTCCCATAATTCCGTCACCCTGTCTACTTGTCCATATGTCTGATGATATGTGAACATTGTAATCCTGAACGTGGTTGAGTGAATTTTAGGTTTTACCTGGAATTCGCACAAGCGGGAAAATTGCATATATAAAGGTTTTATTATAGTTTTATGTGTATTTGAGTAAGTCAAAATTACATAGAATCTTGTTGACCGTGTTTGCTAATTTTCTTGCCAAGGTCACTCGGTCAGGAACTATAACTCGTGGATTAAGGTCAGATACTAAGTTCCTGAATCCTAGCCAATTAACAAAACTGAAAGGGAGTCCATCAACAGAGACCAAATCTTGCAGATTCGAGTTGAATTTTGATTGTATTGGTTCGTTTTTATTATATTTGTTTTGATTTGAGTGAAAAAACTCGTTCACCTTATGATTTTCTCGTGGGATTTCAATTTCCAAAGACACATCTTTGTGTGAGTTCTGCAAAAAATAGTCGATACAATTAACGAATTTAATTACTACTTAATAAATTGCACGGAGGAATATAAAGTTATTATACGTACTCTATAATGACGATTTCCGTTTACGTTAAAGTTGCTCGCACCAAATGAGTAAACACGGCTTTTTTTACCAGTTTCGGTGCACTTTTTACAAGTTGAAAAGAACTTCTGGGACTCAATTGAATGTCCAAGGTAGCTGAACTGCTTCTCAAAGAAGAAACGGAACTTCGACAACTTTTCAAAACCTGGTTGTTTTACGAGTTTAGGTTCCTTGGAACCTCCCTCAGAGTCATGCTCAAGGTCGACGATTTCTTGATCCGTGTGGACAGCTTCGCCATCGCCAGGGTTAACTTGTGATGTCATAACTACTCTAGTTTGCAATTGTTAACTTGTAAAATTAAATCCCTCCGTATAAAGTTTTCGAAAGATTTTTTTTTAAATTTGGGAACACGGGTTTTAATGTAAAATGTGTTGGAATATTGAACTGGCTCCCACCATGCTCCGACCGAAGTTCCCGGCACGCAATGATGATGCACATAAAGCATGAGAATTTCGACCACAATCATAAAGAATGAATGAGACATCACAGGCTCATTCACTTCAACGTGAAGTGAATGAGAGCCAAATTTATTCACAATTCATTTATTACATTCAGCCATCCCTTATTCAATTCATTCAGTTCAAAATTTTATTCATTCATTCATTATTCATTAAATAAATGTCCGGGACATATTTATTCATTCAATATTCATTCAATAAATGAATGGGGCATAATTATTCCTTCAAAATTCAAAGATTTTGAATAATTCGTACATATTCAATATTCAAACTCACTTTAGTGAACGAATGTGAACAGGTATGATTACAATACTTCCAAGGAATATATTCCTTCGAATGTAAATATTTCTACATGTGAAAAATTAACACTTTAAAACTTAATTTAACACCCAGGAACCATTACTTGCTCAACTACACAAGATTTCACACAGTGTAAAAATATAAATCTTCCCAGAACCTCGGATAAACATGTTACGAATCAAAATCATCATAATTCTTCTATTTTTGCTAGTTGCTATTATTTCCACTTTAAAATTACCTACGGTCATTTCGCATCCACGAATCCGATGTACTTGGAAATATTCTATTGACGGTCGTAACTATAATACTTCGATTCGATTTAATCTGGATAAATTCTTTTTTGAAAGTGCAACACCCAAATTTCCAATTATATTAGAAGGTTTTCTCGACTCGGATGTAATTAATCTTAATAGGTCCTCGTCAATTTCGAGACGACCGGATCAATGCAAAGCTCACGTTGTCATTGCGAATTCCCCCTATTTCCCCTTTGTTTCTGGGGAGGATACCGCGAAAACATTGGTATACGTTATGCCCGCTAGTTTCCGTATTCCAGATGTTGTTATTAATCACCTGTGGCGCTTTTTGATTGATAATATTCGCGATATTTTTGTGTTTCATGTTAACTACGATGATAAAAACAATGTAAAAATGCCAAATAGGTTAAGAGCGTTCCAGCAGCGACCCACGTATGTTTTGGAATATGACCCTTTACAAGGTATATGGATCATGCTTTAGTTTTGAATAGAAGATATTCGAGAGATTGCGCATGAGTAATTTTTGGGATTGTGATGGTAATTTTGATTGTGGATAGATTATATACTTGTATAATTGTGATGTACATTACAATCAGAATCAGGATAAATTACTCTCGCGCAGACTCCCAATTTTTATTAAGTAATTGAATTACCAGGGAATAATTTTAAAACGAGAAGCAGTTCTATTAACGATGGAGGTCTGATAGCGTATGTCTTCTGATCTTGAGCAAATTAGTGTCACGCGATAGTAAATTAAATTTGGTTAGTCTGATATTTACGAAAGACAGCGCATTCACACGAACAGGTTCGATGGACACTGTTCAAAATAATGTGGCACTAATTTTGCCAAATCGGAAAGTATTCGCTCAATTTTCAGTTTTCAATGGTTCATTCGCAACAGTAATTATCCCGAGTGGAAAACAGTTTTAAAATTTTGATCAAGATTTAATGAGAATATATTTCTCTTTTAGAAATACTTCCCTCCGAACTGTTTCAACCTAATGGAAACTTTGAACTTGGCGTAATTTGGATTTTTGAACCACAAGGGGATACTCGAAACCTATACCTCCATCTTAATCCATCAAACCTTCCCAAGCTTTCTGCATTAGCAACCTTAATGGATCCGCGGTTAATTGTTCTCCTCCACCTGCAAAGCTACCTCAACTTTACCCCATCGTTCGTTCTCAATTACGACATTATTAGAAAACAAGAAGCCGGACGAGGTAGTGTCATGCTTCCCACGATTTACACCCCGAAAATGTTTTCCTACGGGTTTGGCCTAAATACGCTATATACTAATATGAACCCATTGATTACCACGTACCTGAAAAGAAGGGAGGAAACTTTGCATATTTTATACTGTGAAAATATTCCCGATCCCTACACGCCATCCGCTTTTTCGGCCACGTTATTCCGCGCGTTTGACGCTGCCACATGGATTTTTCTACTCGCTACGTACATTGGTTGCGCACTGACTACAAAATTGGTCTCGCGAACGGATGCGTGTCCCTTTTTCAGCGTAGTTTGCATATTTTTTCGCCAATCTGTGAGCAAGTTTAAGCCACTCCATTTAGTCGTTAGCCTCGTCTTCATCCCGATCTTGTTCCCGTACGAGGCAGATATTACAGCAAGAGTTATTGCACCGGATGAACCCAGCATTTACAACAATTTTGAAGATTACTCAACAGCTCTTATGCCATACTTGTGAATCAAGTAAATATTGGGAGTGACATGTATACGGTGAATGAATATGATAGCGTTATTTACAAGGTGGCCGAAGCTAACATGACGGCAAAGAATCAAACCAATTTTGATACTGTGATTAAGAAAATGGTAAAAGTCTATCAAAAATATCAGAGAAACTTTACACGATGGAACAACAGAGCGCTAGAGAGAAATAAAAACAAGACAAGACGGAGGAAAGGGTCAAACCATGATGGTATGATGTATTTATACAGTGTGCTAAATGATTATTTATTCATGCTCCTAAAAACAATGATTTTGCTGTAAAAAGTAAATGTACCTTGAATTCTGTATTAATGAATTCTGAGTCTAAAATTCTCTTCTGGCTCTGGACAACCAGCGGGTGGTCCGGACCACACAAAGTATATATTTTGAATCCTAAATATAATTTTGCTACACAAATGTGTGTAATTGGTAAGCAAAATAACATTTCGAAAAATAGTTTATTGTAGTCGGGTGATAAAAAATCATTACACAAATGTGTGTAATTTGTAGCCAAGAAGTTAATAAATATAGATTTTGGTAATCCAGATAATTATCGTGATCTGATTACTGTAATCCGTAATCCACGTCATTAATTTATTCCAGTAATCCAACAAGTAATCCACATTATTTCAGGAGCAATATAATCCAGTAATCCCATGATAATGTTTCAATTAATTAATCTGTAATCCGTTATCCATCGAAAGTGTTGGGATTGATTGCACATCCCTGCTCGACAAGATATGTTTTTGTATGAAGCAAAATAATTATTTCTAGCGATATTAAAGATGCCTTTAGAATTCTTGAATTTTGTATTGGCATCCGACGACGGTGTTAAAGTAAAATCACCTCGTATTAAATAATTACGTGCAACTGTGACTCCTTGAAGTGTGCGTTTGGTTATGCGGTTTTCCGCCATGTCTGCCGCCGATTTAATCAGCTAATGATTCCGACTAAATTAAAGGAGATAGGGGATCATTACTTTCAAGGGGAGTGATGACTTATATGTGGAACAGTCAATATTAATCCCTCTTTTGTTTTAAATTGGGTTTGGCAAAACTCTTAAATTTAAAAAATTATTTAATTGTCTAATTTGAAATTTAAAATTCCTAAATTGTTATTTATTCTGAAACCCAACATTCTCTTACAACAGTTAAAGATTCTTTGGCAAATTAAGGACCTCAATTTTGATTTGTCTGCATATTACGTACCGGTCATAACTTACCGTGACAGGGGATGGTAGAGTTTGTAATACATATGTAAGGGACATACAAAACGTCGATTTTCAGTTCCCTCCTTTTCCAATTAATTTCCCGACTAAACAAAATTGCATCGCTTAATATTCCGTTAAAACCTTGTACTGATTGGCAACGAACAAGTTTAAAAATGCATAGAAATTCGTCCCAGTATCATTAAACCAAAGGTAATCCATGGTATTCCGTGGTAGGCTCAATCTCCTGGGGAAACGCTAAATTTACCCCATGGCATTTATCGAAACAGATAATTATGGCCAAGTCTAACAATACATTTTTCACTGTATAAGGTTCTTTCCCATATCGTGTTTTAACCTTTAAGTTGGCATTGCTTAGGTAGACATTCAATCGTTGCTTTAAGACAGGCTCGTCAATGACACCAATATTACAAGTATTACGAGTGTGTCTAGAGTATCAAGCTGTTCTGTCACTACCGTACTGGTATTGATAAGTAATAAACATTAGAATAGATTTATGTTAAAATTTTATCATTTTATGAACCGATATAACTTTAATTCCAAACCAAACCATCGAGAAGTCAGTACCTGGGTAAATCTGTGTACCAAATTTCTAACAGTCTAAAATATACACAACTTCGAATTCCGGATAAACATGTTAAAAAGCAAGATCGTCATAATTCTGCTATTTTTGTTCATTGCTATCGCTTCCACTCTAAAATTATCCCCAATCATAACCCAACCACGAATGAAATGCACCTGGAAATATTCTATTTTCGGTCCCGGCAAGAATTATTCTACTAAATTGAATCTGGATAAATTGTTTTTTGAGAGTGAAACTACCAAATTTCCAACTATATTGGAGGATTTTCTAGAATCGAAGGTAATTCAGCTTAACATGTCTTCTTCAATTTCAAGACGTTCGGATCAATGCAAGGTTCACGTCGTGATTTTCAAGCATTCTTCTCAACTTTATTTCCCCACTGTTTCTGGCGAGGATAATGCAAAAACATTGATATATATTATGCCACATCGTTTGCGTATTCCAGCTGTAATTACTAATGCACATTGGCGCTCGTTAATTGATAATATTCAGGATATTTTTGTGCTACATGTTGACTACGATGATTCAAATGATGTAAGTAAGCCTATCATCTTTAGCGCGTTTCAGCAGCGACCAACGCATGTCTGGCAATATGATCCTGAACGAGGTATGTGAATCATGGTTTAGATAAAGTGCATCCCATATGTAGAGTGCAGATGGAAAAATGGCTCCCATTTTGTTGTAATTCAATTTTGTTCAAGGAAACTAAATTTACACAAAAGCTTAGGATCTGTATGTGTTAGTTTTATTGTTAAACCAATTTCCTATCCCATTGTAACCTGGAGATATTAGGTTCTTCCGAGCTCCGCCGAAGAGTCGTTTTCACGATTTTGCTTTAATGTCATTCGCGATTCTGGTCCAAATCTTAGAAATCCGTGGTCGGTTTTAGGCTTTTCTTCTCGTTTAGAATGTTGTCTTCGACAATTGGCCCAGAAATTCTCGATACCACGTGTTTGAGGTACATTTTTAGCGTTGTTTGATTTTTGTGCATCTCATCCAATGTGTTCGGGGGTATCAATAACCAAGGTTTTCTTTTGAAACATGGCCTTTGGCTTCGTATTTTGCATCTGCTGGAGTAGTTGCATGAAAATATGTACGATTGAGAACATGATCAGGGTCAATG